CAACATAATTTATAGGTAGTTTTTCAGTTTTTGTAATGGTAACTCGTTTTTGTGGAAAGTCACATGTATAAGAATTACAAATTGATTCAATTTAAATACTTAAACAAATATAGGGTACATATATTTGTCATTCAATCGGATGCAAAAATATGAATTTTAAATAGTTTTAATCAAATTTACGCATGTTTCTCTATAAAGTTCAGCTTCTTCATCACTTAGGTTTTAGAAAATTAATCAATTTGGGAAGAAATCTTTATCCCAGAAAATGTTTGGGTCTAGAGTCACCCTCCAAGACCATATTTCTTCAAAGATGAAGATGGGAATAATGTAACTATTAATGTGGCCATACATATTATGGGATACTCTATTCCTGCACGTTCGCCTGATCTGACGCCACCAGACTTTTACCTATGTAGTCCAGCCAGCTTGAGGAAAATATCCGATCCGAGCTGAATTAAGTATTAAATGCAAAAAATATTACTTAATAGTTGCCACACAACCTATTAATTGAAATCAATCGCCAAACCAATTAAAAGTAAAACATTCTGCGTAACACTAACGATTTCAGATAGATAAATGCTATGGCTTCTAGTTTACTCTAGTACCAACGAAATCAGGCCAATAACTAAATCTTTCATCATAAATTATTTGTAACATATTTTGAGATGTTCTTAATTATAGTGTGCTTTAACGCCTTCTGGCGTTCACGGATCATTAAAATTATTTTAGTAGGTACCTACACCTACCTACCTGCGATTATGAATGATTTCTAGATATAGGTATGAGTTGTTTGGAGTAATAATTAATGCAATATTTTAACGGTCGCATCATAATCAAGAAATTTTGTAAACGATTTCCTAATAATTAAGTGAGTTTATTTAATTAAGTAGATTTATTCTAAAAAATTAGCAGTGGTTCAGTAAGCAGGGGTTTCTGTGTAGTTTTTTTTTCCACCGGTTTATGTTTTTTGGGGTGCTGAATCCGAATCTGAGGTTTGCCAACTCACCAGACGTCGGCTTCACACGAAAAATTGCAAAAAACTTTCCGCACTTTTTTCAGGTGTAGTTGAAAAACTATAAATCGAAAACTAAGCTTTTTTAATTTCAATTACCTATGATACACCAAATTACAGTAGACAAAATTGCCTATAAGTAGGTACCTACGTATAATAACTCTAAAGTCTCGGCGATCCATAACGTCGTAAGATCATGATGAAAAAATGCCATTTCTTGACTTTTCTCTAAAAAAGTTGAAAACGTCATTCAAACCAAGATTTTCATGGGTTGCTCTAATTCTTGAAGCATGAGCCCCCTACTGGAAAATAGTAGTTTTCCTAATCAGTGCGCAAAGTTATGTTCTCCCATGCGAAAGCAATTAGGGATAAGCTTTTTATCGATAGGAAATTGCATTGAAATTTTCAGCATTTGTAGCTCTTATTAGGCTCTAAATGGCCTGTAATTTACAATATTATCAGATTTATAACTTTTGAGCAAATTGAGTTCGAAGTTTTTGACAAAATTTGGACTAAAAGTCAACTTTGAGGTATTTTGAATTCAATTTTACACAGATTTATAGAGAATTTAATGCTCTTTCTAATGACACATAATTTATTTTAATTTGCTCGAAATATAATAAGGATATAGGCAATTGCTCATGACCATGTCAAGATTTTGAAATAAATTTCCAGAGCTAAAAATAGGATTTCCTATTTAATTTTGTTTCTGGTTAAAATGGCCATTTGGAATTGACGTCAGGATTGTTTTTTCCACTAATTTGGACCCACTCTATTGATTGATAAGGTCAACATTGAGCAAAACTAAAAAATAAAAAAATCGAGTTCTTCATCCCTTTGAATTCTGATTTCAAAATATTCAAACTTCAATTGTTCGGTAACCATTAAGCAAATTGCATTAAAATTCCCAGAATTTGTAGCTTTTATCAGGTGCTAAATTGCTTGTAATTTACAATATATCTAGATTTATAGTTTTTGAGCAAATTGAGTTTGAAATTTTTGACAAAATTTGGAATAAAAGTCAATTTTGAGTCTCAATTTCTCAAAAACTATTTGAGCTATCGAACTCAGTTTTACACATATTTATAGAGAATTTAATGCTCTTTCCAATAATATATATTTTATTTCAAATTTAACAAAGATATGAGCAATTATTGCTCATGACCATGTCAACATTTTAAAAATTTGCCAGAGCCAAAAATAGGATTTCTTTTTTAATTTTGTTTCTGCTGAAAATGGCAATTTGGAAATGATGTCAGGGTTGTTTTCCACTAATTTTGACCCGCTCTATCGATTGGTGAAGACAAAATTGAGCAAAACTGGAAATTAAAAAAATCGAGTTTTTCATAAGTGAATTTTGATTTCAAAATATTTAAAACTCAATTGCTCGATAATTGGTAAGCAAATTGCATTGAAATTTCCAGTATTTGAAGTTCTTATTTATTATATTTATTTTTTTCTTATAACCTAAAAATATAAAATAAAATTGATAAAACTATAAATAAAAAACCTCTTCTAAACCGGATTCTTCAGGTAAGGTCCCCAATATGGAGGCCGCATTACCCCTCTGAATTGCAAGACTGATCCGCTGCGTCATGAAGCTTCTAGCATTTTTTGTTTTAATTTTGGCTGCTATGTCAGACACCAATTTTTTAGCTTCATCACCCCATGGACCTAACGTCTCCACTGCAAATGTGCAAAACAAAAACCCTCTGTCTTCTAACTCTTTGTACTGGGCTCTTTTTATTAATTCTCCTATCTTGGCCGCCTCTCCTGATTTTTGGGAAGTTTTGCCAACATAGGAGCTGCAAAGCGTGTTCTTATTAGGCTCTAAATGGCCTGTAATTTACAATATTTTTAGATTAATAATTTTTGATCAAATTGAGTTTGAAGTTTTTGACAAAATTTGGACTAAAAGTCCAATTTGAGGCTCAATTGCTTGAAAACTATTCGAGCTATCAAATTCAATTTTACACAAATTTATAGAAAATTTTATGCTCTTTCTAATAATATAAAATTTATTTCAATTTGCTCGAAATATAACAAAGATATAGGCAATTGCTCATGACCATGTCAAGATTTTGAAAATTTTCCGTGGCCAAAAATAGGATTTCCTATTTAATTTTGTTTCTGCTTAAAATGCCTATTTGGAATTGATGTCAGGGCTGTTTTCCACTAATTTGAACCCGCTCTATCGATTAATAAAATCACAATTGAGCAAAACTGGAAAATAAAAAAAACCAGTTTTTCATAAGGGTACCCCTTTGAATTCTGATTTCAAAATATTCAAACCTCAATTGCTCGGTAACCGTTAAGCAAATTGCATCGAAATTTCCAGAATTTGTAGATTTTATCAGGTTCCAAATGGTCTGTAATTTACAATATATCATTTATAGTTTTTGAGGAAATTGAGTCTGAAATTTTTGACAAGATTTGGAATAAAAGTCAATTTTGAGGATCAAAAACTATTCGAGCTATCAAACTCAATTTTACACAGATTTATAGAGAATTTAATGTTCTTTTCAATGGTATATAATTTATTCCAATTTGCCAAAATTTATTGAAGATATGGGCAATTGTTCATGACCATGTCAAGATTTTGAAAATGTTCCAGAGCCCAAAATAGGATTTTCTTTTTATTTTTGTTTCTACTTAAAATGGCCATTTGGAATTGATGTCAGGGTTGTTTTCCACTAATTTTGACCCGCTCTATCGATTAATTTACCATTACGAAGTATATGAGAACAGTCATAAATTAATATTCCATAAGTTTATGCAATATCTCAATTTTTAAATATACTGCCCTTTTGCCCGTTCTGATTTTGTATTACCTTGGAATTTTGAATTAACATAATAAAACCTTCATGTTGTGAAAATTTCAGCTTGTAACTCCGACGCGCCCACAAAAGTCAAAATATATTATAAGGCCCACTCGACTAATGAAGCACCTTTTTTCATGAGCCTATGGAAGTATTCTCCATAATGAACATGAACGATATTATTATCCAAAGTTTTTATTCTCATTGGTTCAGGTGATGATTCTGCAGATGTGGACGCGAGGAATGAATGATAAATTTGAAAATCATTAAATAATAATGTTTTTTCTGTGTAAATGCCAATTTGTTCCAAATATGTTTCCTTTTATCAAACCTCAGTTAGAATAACGTTTTCAAATTTTTTAAAGGAAAATCATTAAAATCAAGATATACCATTTTTTCAACACGATCTAACGACGTTGTGGATTGTCGAGAATTTAGCGTTATTATACGTACTTGTAGGAAATTTTGTCTACTTCAATTTCTTATATCATAGTTATAATTAAAAAACGCTTAGTTTTCGAGTTATAGTTAGAAACTTGAAAAAAGTGTCGAAAATTTCAGGTTTTTTGAAATTTTTCGTGTGAAACCTCAGATTCGGATTCAATATCCCAAAAAACATATGAAACTGCTGAGAAAAAACTTGTAAATTTTTCTCTTGAAAACGCTGCTTCTGAACCTTGGATGACTGAATTACAGTTTAAGTTTCATGAAATCGAGTTTGAGATTTTTGGACAAAATTTCATCTGAAGCTCAAAGCTGTCAGAATCAATTTTCCATTTATGAAAAATTCAACGTTCTTCAAAAATGATAATTAATATTAATCTTTTTGAGGATATGAAGAAATATTCATAATCCTATCACGATTTCAAAAAATGTCCAAAAATTAGAGTTTCTTCTGGATTGTTTTTCTCACTTAGAAATTAATATGTTTAAGGCCTTTTTGATCGATTGAGTCGAAATTGAAAAATAAAATAAGATCTATAATTCCGCCTACCTAGAAAAACACTTTCAGAAGCAATTTGGAACTTCTCACACTTTCTTCAAGCATATGATACACATTTTATAAAGTGGTTTAATCGTTGTGTTGTTTGTCATAATAAGGATCATTACTACAATTATTCTAAGAAACCTACAACTTCCTGGTATTTTGATTGTAATTATCTACTCACCTTAAGTTATTTAATACAAAATCCTCAAGTATATCCAGGTTTATCGATGGTTTTCATTACTTCCACAGTTCACAATTAAAAGCACATACACAGTTTAAACATTCCAATATTCACTTCGTTCTTATTCTTAATCTTTTCGCGTCATGCAGCAACAGTTGATTTTCCTAAATCCTTATAAAAATAAATAGAGACGCAACGACACACTTCGACTATTTTTCACATAAATCCACGCAAGAACAACTTTCTTTCACTGCCGTACTGCTGCCGGCACCATCTGTTTCCGTACTTCTATCAACATTTACATACAATATTTCTATTTACCGACGGGCCGCGGTTTGTCTATATCTATCTAAACAATAGAACCAACGGCACGACGACGGAGTACCCACATAGACACCAATTTAGTGGCGTACCTCTGAGGTACTACGAAAGACTGACTAAGGAGTTAGTAGCCGAATAGGCCGTACGAAGTGGGGAGCAGGTGGCTCGTATCTAAATCTGACCCACACCGTCGAAATTTCAAATGAGGTACTGGGTCTCTGGTACCAACCAAGTCGTACCACTACTCAGTCGGTTCTTGTACGGTTGTTGGGTATGGTTGTATTTCCTCGATGTGGAAGCAGCGCGTTTCAAGGTTGCGAAGCGGTTTTACGGCCGAGCCGAGAAAAATCTTTCAGGCTGCCGAAGAAATCAATTAAGTAGAGCAATATAATGTGTTAATTACTTGATATTGATATGGTTTCACTAAAAAAGATTTCTTATTTATTGATAATATATTTTCCAAGTAGCCACTTCTGAATCTATTGCAATATAAATTTGAAACTTGTTAGTCCTTTTCTTTTTACAAGTTTTCCTCTGAACTTTTTGCAACTTGACTTGATTTTCTATTGTGTTTTTGTTCATAGTATTAAAATTTATGTCTGGCTGCAAAATTTGATTTTGTATTTATGCGCGGAACTTTTACTACTGATTTCAACCTCCTCTTTCATCAGCCAGCAAACTTTATATTTTTGTTCAAACTCCATATGGCATGAAAGTACTTGAGTTGTCAATGCAATTTCACAAATATTTTTTTACAAAGTCTTTAATAATGATTAGATGGAGCAATTTAGACGATCGGAACGTATTCATATTCAGATATCATGATACTGGAACAGGAAGTAGTTTGTAGTTTTTGGTACGAGGTATTTTCATTAATAAAATAAACTCAAATGCAACAACGCTTTATAATATCTTCAGCTAGATTTACAAATAAATTTCTCTTGTAGGTACGGTTTTCATTCCAAAGCTAGTTTTTTTAAGAATTATTATAAGATTTCTTTGTAATGTGGAGTATTTTTGCTTGCTTAAGTTCTACATATAAGAAAGTACCTACCTATGCACCAGAAAATAAATGAAAATTTCTTCCTATAAAGTTTATATTTTTTTTAATGAACTTACCACACAATAAATGTTCGCCACTCCTCAAAATATTTTCCTTCCTTGGTATCCAAAATAAACCAATTTGATTAAATCAAACAATAAATCCTGTTTTTAATTAAACAAAAAATTCGCAAATTCTATAAGATCTTAAAGGTCAACTACACGGTTCTCCGGTAACAAGAACTTGAGCAGAATTTCCTTGGAGGTGGCGCGGTTGTGACGGTTTTTGACGTGATTTCTATTTAATTAATATCCGGTAACTCGATGACGCACAAACTTTTTTTGTGCGGATTTTATTATTTCAGTTTTACCACTTTAAGTTGGGTTTCTTTCATGACTAATTAATAATTATCTTGTGCTTTAATTATTCACGCATAATGCTCATAGTTAACTGTGTATTATATATCTGTAGGTTACGAATTAAGGTGTTACTAATTTCTTTGTTGCTTTAACTCTAGTGTAAAAAAACTCTTTTGATAATTGTAGGAAATTACCTTAAATCTAATACCTGCTAATTACAGAATCTTCAGAAGAAATTTTTCTAGGTTCAAAATGTATAACATAGATCATATAAATAGATAGCTAAGTATCTAACCATTATATATTAAGTTCCAACTGAAACTATAATTTGAATAAAACTCCACTTTATGACTGGGATTTTTAAGTATCAAAGTGGAAACAAATCCATAATTCCTTTTAAGACCATCCTTATTATCAACTTCTGGTTTGACTTATAATTTAGAAAAATGAATGAATTCTGAACGCTTCAAAGGTGCTGTGATGGGTCAAAATAATAACCAGAAGTGATTTTACAGAAATTTTATGATTTTTCAAAGATTGAAGTGCCAAAAAAAAAAAAAAATGTTTCAACGCATATAAATCAACTTTTGGTTTGACTTATATCTAATTTAGGAAAAGCCTCTAACGCCCAGTTTCACAATGTCTGGTGACCTTCTTGGCCACTTAACTAATTCGTTTACAGTAACCAATGGTTAAGGCATATAGCGTTTCACAGCAAAAAAAAATGTGCTGGTCAATTAACCAATATTTTGTTTTAATTTTTCTTAGGTTGTCAGCAGAATTTTTAGATTTTACGATTTCAGTGTAATAAATCGCAGATAAATTTGTCAAGATTGACAAATAATGACAAAAATTATTCAAATGAATATGCAAAATAATCTGTAATTCCTCCAAAATCACTTATCCTTTCCACTGTTCTTGGTGATAAGCCCAAGTCTAAACCGATCAACAGAATGTTTTTTATCATATTCTTAAAAAAAAATTAGTTCTAGGTTTAACTATTTTTGCACATGGTCCACCTTGGTCTTCATTATCGATGCAGTCTTTTCATATACTAAAGGCCCCCACAGACGCTCAGTTATTTTGCACAGGACGACTGTGCAGGCCGATTTTCGCAAATTTATCTGTACAGGGTGTTTTTTTTATATACAGGGTGTATCAGGTATGAGTAAAAATATTTCATCATGAGATAATATGGTCCATTTCAAGCTAAAACTGTCCTATTGACCATGGGTCAATGGGACACTTTTACGTGTCGGGAATATGGCAAATTATGATATTTTTTGACGCAGATACATCAATGCAACCGAGAATGGACAATATTTTGCAAGATTTTAGTCAGATTATTAAATAAATTAATAAATAAAAACTAAAAATTTAAACGAAAAATCACGTGATTGAAAACGCTCTCTAATTGGCTAAAGTCGATTTTGACCCTTTTATTGCCACATGTAGAAATGCGAAATTTGAATGAGTTAATAAGGATTATACCTATCCTTTTTTTTTTTTAAATGTAGTAAAGGACGAAAATAGTTTCTAGCTAGTGAAATGTGTAATGATATACTAATGAGAAATTTAGCATCCTCGCATTTTTGTTGATTTTCTGGTTTGTGACGTCACAAAAATTCGATTTTTAAATAATTTTTTTTTTCAAAAATAAGCGGTTTTTTTTTTCGGAAAAAAAGTATACAGATAGTATTAGAATGACTAAAAGAAATATTTGAATATGTTTTTGAAAAATGTGAAAGTGGCCCATTGTTAGTATTCTCGGAGTTACCGTAGAATTTAAATTGAGAAAAATGTTAACAACGTGACAACATTGTACAGGTATTATCTCTGTCAGGATATAAATGTAGATAAAACTGGTGAATTTAAGAAGTTTTTTTTTGCACGGAGTTTATTTATTTCCATTTATTTACATTTTGGTTTGTTATCGGCTTTCAAATAATGTAAATAATATTCAACTAAATATTCAAGAGAAAAATCAAATAATACTTACTCAGCTACTTGTCAAATCCTTATTATGAAAATATTAACTGTTGTTAAAAGGTTCTCAAAACACTAAAATCAACACGCAGATTTTGCACACTCACAACTCACACTTCCTGTATCACGCAATCTTTGAAAAACGGACACAATGTTCTTTCATCAGGTGGGTGCTTTTCTTTTGGAAAATCTTTCCCTAGTTTCCTTGTAAATTCTGGCGGCTAAAGGAGCATTTTACAACGTTTTTGCCGCATATTCGATGTTTCTAAACATTTGAATTTGAATTACGCGCGTTTCCTAACTAGGCCAAATCAAGAATCAATTTATTCAGCTCCACCAAGGTTCAACCTTAATCCACCTATTCTTTATTGTGCTATGTTGCCAGATGTTTAGATACCCTTTTAAAAGTGAAATTTGTAAGTGGTTTTTTCAATTTTTTGTTATAGTTGTTGACTAAAAATGCATAATTACTTATTAATTGGATAAACTAAATTTTTCTACATCTCATAATGATTAAAATTTTCTTCACCTTAAAAATAATCGTTATAAAATGTCAAAACTTCAAAGGCCTTTTTCCCAAAAATGGTTGAGTTTCGACTGTTGTGTAAACTTTTTTTGTTCAAAATGGGGCATATTTTTAAAATTTTTGTAGTCAAACCTGATACACATTGCATTGACACCCCAGGCGCGGATCCAGACCCAAAATAAGGGGGGGGGGCACACAAAATATTGGATGGTACAAGGTGTCTGGTTATAATTTGACACCTCACCTTTATAGGTAGATGATAGGGTAAACACAAAAGTGGAGCAGTTTTAGCTAAATTATTGTCAGAAATTTGAAATTTTGCGTAGTTTTTTCAAATAGAATGGCCTATATTTGATTCTATATTCTTGAAGAGCACAATTTTCCGATTCCAAAAATATATAGTTTCTCTATACCTATTTAGTTGAGCCGTCTCCACTATATTTGGCTTCAAAAATTTCAAAAATACTATCACAGAAACCAACCTCAAGCTTTCATCAGGGGCCTTATTCTGTAAAGAACGAACCGTTTTATTCGGTAGAATTTCTTCGATCGTGACGTCATTTTCGGTTTGGAAGCGAATAGCTTCCGCGCTACCAAACCGAAAATGACGTCTCAATCGAAGAAATTCTACCGAATCGAACTGTTCGTTCTTTACAGAATAAGGCCCCAGAATGGTTCACAAAATCGTCAGAAGGATATTATTTTTCCAATTTTTAGTGGCAAGAGGCAAATATGTTGAAGGCGGCTCAAACAAATATAGACAAACTATACAGGGTGTGACTAAGCGCGCGGTGGTCCATATCTCCTATACTAACGGAGATCGGAGAAAAAACTAAATACAAAACTTGTAGATAAACATGAGTACTACATTCCTAAATTATTTTTCAGTATACAGGGTAGCCCAATAACTAGTAGTGACACAAAGTTATGTTTTTTTAAATGACTTCCCCTGTATATTATGACATTTCTGGATTCTGCGAAAATTCTAGACATATTTCATGTATAATATATAGGTACCTATCTTCACCTGTTTCGGGAATATTGACAGTTGAACATTTACTTTTTTGCATCTTTGACAGACTGTGAAACCTAAACGGATCATTTTAGAGGAAAACGGATTTTACATTCCGGTCTTGGATTTTCATAAGCTATCATTTGACACCAACTTTGAATTTAACCG